CTCAGCAACCTGTACCAAATATTTCCCAAGTGTAAGTTCTTCACTGCTGAGGATTAAGCCACCTTTTCACCGTTTCAACTAGCTTTTGCTTCTTTCTGAAGCACCTAAGTAGTGCTCGGCAGCAGCACGTTATTTTTCAGGCTTATCTGCTATACAATAGCCCGTATCGGACGTGAACTTGGAGCCTATAAGTTGGCACGGGAAACCCTCGATCGTCTGGGAAATTTACGAGTGCCACCACGTCTCCAACGTGATGTCGAGCTGATGACTGTGAATATCAGGGCAAAACCGTTTTCTGACGCTGATGACTTGCTGCCTGTCTGTCACAGGTATTGAACTTGACTCTATGCAGCGGTAAGGTTAGAACAACAAGAAAGAGGACATGAAAGTGGGTTAATTCAAACGTTCCCACCATTGTGAAGTAAAGTATAGTGTATGGCGCAACTTGGACGGCTAAGCTTTCGGTAAAGAGTGACGTCCTGCTTTCACCTAGCGAACTCCTTTTTCTAGGTGCGGCTTCAATAATCCGCTCACATGTGGTATGAATTGTGTACACTGCAAGACGGCCTTTGTGTATTCATTTGCAACATTTGGTTTGTGAGCTGAAAAATTTTTGAAAATTTATTTTCTTGATAAAAAATATTCCAGAAATTCTCCCACTTGTGGAGTTCACAGTGGATCCTGATTTGCCCATCGATGAAGCGGTAAAGTTGGTTGAATCAGAACCTCCAATTACGGAATCGAATTTCAATCCTTTCCAAGCCGCCTCTGTGAGTGGTCATTCCGAGGTAGTTTGAAACTTTCAGGTTCACGTGATTCTTCGTGAGCTGCCGTTGCATTCAAACGCCGTAACGAAACTAGACAGAAACCGAGTTCGCGGCGTATTCTAAAGAGTGTCATGTTGCCGTTGTTTGAACTGACTATTAATATTATGAAAATTTCAGATATGAATTTGCTTTCAGAAGAAATCCACTGAGGTATGTCTCAATGCAGGCGATCTGGCCAAACTGGAAAAGGGTCAGGTGGTGGTGCTTCATCTACCGCCACCTTTGAAGACACGTTTCCTGTTCAATCAAATGCCTTCAATATCAGTTTCCAAGTGTCCTTCATGTAATAAGGTGATGAAAGTTCCATACAAACTCGAAAAATGTGTTTTTGTGATTTCGCATGTTGTTTTAGGTTTTTCACAGTGACGATTTCGAGATGGCCGTACTTCAAGAAGGTCACTGTCCATTCTGTCGAAGTGTGCAGGAACGATCAGATAATCCGTATCTCATAGATGAGTCCTGAATAGAATCAGGACATGCAGAATTATACGTTGTTGATCTATGTGGTTTCGAAGGCGAGTAAAGATACCCACTACATATAATACATACGTGTAAATGTTATAGCAATAAAGTATTGAGCGATATAATATGATAGTAAATTGTATAGGGTGCGGAGGTTGTGTAATGGTAATTGGCACACTACCACAACTATGGCCACGAGCTCAAATCCTATTCGTGTAAAGCTAATGTCGAAGTGAGCATTAAGAGCATTTTCGACATCCGATTCATTTCATCTACGGCGAAAGGAAGAGTGCAGCTGAAACTACGAAAAAATATGTGTTATCTACTGAAGCTATCAGAATGCTTGGTAAGTGAGTGGCTTACAATGCTTAGACAGGCTGAAATTACTTCTGAAAATCGGCAAATGGTAAGGGAGTCCATCCCAGTTGATAACAACAAATCGAAAGATTAACGAAAAAATAGACGCATAACTACTTGAGAAAGCAGGCTCATTGGCCTTTTCCGGGTAACGGAACTTCTCCCCTATCGCGGCATTCTCCCTTGCGGCATGCGGCAAATGCCACTGCAATTACCGTAATCTCGCCAATCGATAGGACGCGATATTTTTCGTTGATTGGCTTGCTTTTTATTGGATTTTATCGTTTTTCCTTCTGTTTCTTTTTAGTTTTCATGTTTATTAGACTTGATTGATTGAAATGACTCCTCCTATATAAACGACGTTCACGACCGCATTGGAAATGAAAAGAGCGGCCAGCCAATTCAAATAGTTAAAGGACTCCCCACCCCATAAATTGCGCGCTCCAATCTTCCATCGCAGTCCTGCGAAAGGCGGCGGGTGCGACGAGTGCGACGCCGTGTTAGGGGAGAAGTTCCCGGACCCTCGGAAACTGAGCGAGCGCAACCGCTCAGTCTCCCAGGAACCCAAACAGCATCACTTTGGTTTATTAGTACGATCCGCTTCTCAAATGTCAGCACGTTTGGTAACTGAAGATGAGCAATGGATATCGTCTCAAAAATGAGCGGAAAATATCATATTGCTTCCAAGGCACCCTCAGAAACCAAACCAAAAACTAAATCCCACGTGCTTAAAGTGTACTGTGTTGATAGCAGGACTGGAGGAGAATTGCCTATAGTGAGCTGTTACCACACAACTAACCGATCACTCTTGAGAGAATGTTCAAATGGATCTGCAGCGGCCTTGACTGGACAGGGTCAGGAACGAGGACACAAGGGTGGTCGTGCAAGGAGCTTCTAACCAGCTGATGATGAGTGAGCCTTGCATGCCTTGCTGTGGGCCACAGGATCGAGCGGTAAGGAAAGCAGTACGGTTTGCAACAGGAAGACGAGAGGGCCTTCCCCGATTCAAGGTAACGGCAGGAGATGAAGTAGATAAAAAAAAGTCGAGGCGGAACTCGAGAACAACGAACCCTGCAACTATGCGGAGTTAGAGAAAGGAGGAAGAGGTAGAAGAAGATGATGATAAAGACGGCGAAAAAGAAAAAAAGCCTCATTCTGAGATTGATCAAAAAGCTTTCGAAGTTCTGCTACTATCTTATAATTACCGATCATCTATGAAAGTTTCAAAACAACGGAGAAAGGGACAGCAGCCGTAGATACAGCACCTCAAAAAACTTCTTTATTAAGGAGCTAATAAAGATCGGGTAACCTCAAAGTTTGAAAGGAACATAGAGGTTAGTCCGATAACAAAACTAGCAAATTATATCCCCATCATAGCCGTAGTGCAGTTTTCGATTTCGCAGATTACTTTGCCTGATTTGAATGCCGCAACGTTGGTAGACCATTCGTCGTAGACATCACGGTAGGCAGAATAAAGCTGAATACTTTATAATGAAAGATCTTCGATGGAAGAAAAAAGTGAAAGGAATATTACCCCTGCCACATTGACCAACAAGGATTTTGGTTCACCATATTTTCCACTCCAGCGTCGAAAAATGCAGCCTTTCTTCCAACTGTGCCATCTCCATCCCCTATCCCATCTCAATCCGGTAAATGTGTTGTGGTCAGTTGTTCCACCATCTCCACCAAGCCTATTATGGAAACGCGAAAGCACTGAAACTGTATGGAAAAGCATGTAAAGGCAATAGGAAAAAGTGGCAGCCATTATGATAAGCACTGATGAAGCACTGATGAAGACCTAAACCTTTTCCAAAGGAATATCTATGAAGAGAGTTGGGGAGCAACAATTCCCTAGTCACTGATTATGCCTCTATTTCCCATAGCCAACATTGATTGGCCACAATCAAGGCTTTGATGATTGATCATGAAGTTGATCGATTACAAAAGAGTCCAAGCGAATCCCTGGGCGGAGTAGTTGAATTGTTCCCAGACGGCTGCTTTTTGAGGAAATCAAAAATGGAAAGGGCTAAAATAGCAGTGGGTAACACATCTGTCGAATACCATTATACCAAGTTTCTGCTTTATAGATGAGAGAAATTTACCAAATTCACTGCCTGATTTGTGCTAGCGCTCTCCCCCCACTTTTCAATTTATTGTTGCGGTGTGGGGGTTCGTCTTCAGAAACTATGCCGGGGGAATTCTGCATGACTCTTGTCTAAGAGGCGATCAAACTAACAAAAGTTAGCAATGCAACTGAGTCTTTTCATGGAAAGAGGGAACTTATGGGCTTTTCTGAGAAATCCGAAGAACTCAGACTGATTCAGAGTATTGTAAGAACTGAACTTTGAAATCAAAGCGGGCACCATACTTGACACAATGTGGTTTTCATGGTGGCTGCAGATGGTCACCATATGTGCATTAAGTTTACTACATAGGTGTTCATGGTCATCGTACCAACGGTTGTCGCAGAACTTCTACAAAGGCATCATCCAATCGAGTTCAAGACTTCGTCTAGTGAACTTTTTCACCTACTTTGTAGCATTTCTTGTATTTCGCAACGTAGATCCACGGCGAACACGCTCCGTATTGGCGCTCCAGATGGTAAAGATATCCATCGACCATTATTGAAGGGGAAATCAATGCAATCAACATGTATAACAGCATATTCTCTGAATTAAATCCGAATTCAGGATAAGGATAAAGGACAAAGTCTTCTACGTTAATCGATCCCGTCTGAGGGATGCGCCC